GACATAAAGTGATGTTCACACAAGTTGATGTCCATGAAGGCAATAGGTTACCTTGTCCCTTATCTTACCAACAAGAGGGTTTGTGACTCCTTGAACTAGTGCAAGATGTAGAAGTTGTTTGCACTTTTTCTCGCCAAAAATGATATGAGTGAAGTATGTTGGCGGAGTCACCCTCAAGAACTCTCTATTTCTTCTTCTTCGGGATCCACATCATCTTGATGGGAATCCTTGGAGTTGTAGTCGTACTTGATGAAGTAGAACTTGATGTAGTCTTGGGAACCCACTTTACCAAGGCCTTAGGAGCTTCTTCAAACACATCAATCTCCTCTTGAAGCTTGTCCTTGCCTTCTTGCTTGTGGTCTTGTGGTGGAAGATCATCTTGAGCTTGTGTCCCTTGGAAGGAAGTAGGATCATACTTCTCTTGTTGAGGAACAAACTTTGTCTTGGGGTATTGATCTTCTTCCCACTCAACTCCATTGGCATTGAACTTTCGTTCAAAACCAATACCTTGATTCTTCCGGTGCCTTCCTTGTTTGCGTACAATTTCCTCAAATTGCTTACTCCCGGCAAGGCTCTTGTAAACACCTTTCTCTATAATTCCCTTCAATAAGCTATTTTCTTGCTCAAGTGTAACTTGGTTAAGAGAATCATTAGTGGAATCAAGAGAACTACTAGAAGCAACAACATTGGATTTAACATGATTATTGTTACTACTAGAAGAAGAATCATTCTTACTCTTGTTGCTAGATTTTAACTTGTGGCATGTAAGTAGACAAGAGTAAACGCTTGGCAATGTAAGAATAACTTTTCTTGCGAAGATCATCATTGATTGCTTTTAAGAACCCATGCTCTTGCTCAAGGTTGAGCTTTTCGAAGCGTAACTTCTCATGAGTCTTTAAAAGCTCTCGATGATTTTCCAAGGTAGTTTCATGAGCTAACTTAAGAGTGTTTAGGTCTTTAGTTAGACGCTCAATCTCCTTCTTATCATCATCATTCGTTTTATCTTGATTAGCATGATTAATAGCAAGTTTATCATAGTTTTCATCACTAGAGTTGTCAATAAGTAGATCATCATCACCTAGCAAATCATCTTCATCACTATTGAAATCAACATACTCGGGGTGTGATACCTTTGGGCCTTTAGCCATGAAGCATCTTCCAATTCCTTCACTTGGTGAGTCAAATATGTCATAGGAGTTGGTTGACACAAGTGCTAGACCGGCAACACCTTCATCTTGAGTATATTCGGAGTCAGAGTGATAACTTCTCTCAGAGTGATTGTCGGAGTCAGAGTCGGATACCCATTCACCAACATGAGCTTGATGTCTTCGTTTTGTGTAGCTTCTTGATGACTTGTCCTTCCTTTCTGAATCCTTGCTTCTCCATGATGTTCTCCGTTCATAATGATCATCTCTACTCCTTCTTTCTCTTGGTGGTGATTCTTCTCTTCTACTTCTCCTTTTGGGTGAATCTTCTCTTCTTTTGTAGGGGGTCGTATACTCATTGGAGTAGTGTCCAGGTCTTCCACAATTATAGCAATTTCGTTCACGACTCGAAGATCTTTTGTCATTGTAGGACCTTGACTTGTTGTGAAGCTCTTCCTTATCCTTGAGTGACATCTCATGAGCAGCAATTCTTCCAATGACTTCTGTTGGCTTGAGATCTTTGTAGTTGGGCATCATTTGGATCAATGTGCACATGGTATCATATTTTCCATCAAAGGCTCTTAGGATCTTCTTGATGATGAATCTATCGGTCATCTCTTCACTTCCTAAGCCGGCAATCTCATTTGTGATGAGAGCAAGCCTAGAGTACATTTCGGCGACACCTTCACCATCCTTCATTTTGAACTTGTCAAGTTGACTTTGAAGCACATCCAATTTGGATTCCTTGACGGAGTCGGTACCCTCGTGCATATCAATCAAAGTATCCCAAATTTCCTTTGCATTCTCAAGACGGCTGATTTTGTTGAATTCTTCGGGGCACAATCCGTTGAAGAGGATATCGCCAGCTTGAGCGTTGTATTGCAGCATCTTCAACTCTTCCGCGGTAGCTTCACGGTTCGGTTCTCTCCCATCAAAGAATTCACCTTGCAAGCTAATACACACAATAGCCCAAACGGCGGGGTTATGTCCAAGAATATGCATTCTCATCTTATGCTTCCAACTAGCAAAATTAGTACCATCAAAGTAAGGACCTCTACGGTGGTAATTTCCCTCGCTAGACGCCATACACTCCTAGGTTGTGAAACCAAGGCTATGATCACCAAAGCTATGGAAATCAAGGCAAATGGAGACCAAATCACTGATACCACTTCTAGGATCGAAAGTATGTCTAGAGGGGGGGTGATTAGACTACTTGACCAAATAAAAATCTAGCCTTTTCCCAATTTTAAGTCTTGGCAGATTTTATCAACTTAGCACAAGTCAAGCAATCAATCTACACATGCAAGTCTAAGAGTATAGCAGCGAAGTGTAATACATTTGCATATGAAGGTAAAGGGAGGAGTTTGGAGGGAGCAAACGCAATGTAGACACAGAGATTTTTGGCGTGGTTCCGATAGGTGGTGCTATCGTACATCCACGTTGATGGAGACTTCAACCCATGAAGGGTAACGGTTGCGCGAGTCCACGAAGGGCTCCACCCACGAAGGGTCCACGAAGAAGCAACCTTGTCTATCCCACCATGGCCATCGCCCATGAAGGACTTGCCTCACTAGGGCAGATCTTCATGAAGTAGGCGATCTCCTTGCTCGTACAAACTCCTTGGTTCAACTCCACAATCTTGTCGAAGGCTCCCAAGTGACACCTAACCAATCTAGGAGACACCACTCTCCAAAAGGTAATATATGGTGTGATGATGATGAACTCCTTGCTCTTGTGCTTCAAATGATAGTCTCTCGAACACTCAACTCTCTCACACAGATTTGGATTTGGTGGAAATATGATTTGAGTGGAAAGCAACTTGGGGAAGGCTATAGATCAAGATTCATATGGTTGGAATGGAATATCTTGGTCTCAACACATGAGTAGGTGGTTCTTTCTCAGAAAATGAATACTGGAAGTGTAGGCACGTTCTGATGGCTCTCCTTGCTAATGAAGGAAGGGTGAAGGGGTATATATAGCCTCCACACAAAATCTAACCGTTAGACACAATTTACCAAACTTGATGGGACCGAATCAGAAAACTCGGTCAGACCGATTCAGTTCAAAATGTGAATGTTAGACTTTTCGGTGGGACCGGCATGTCAACTTGGTGGGGCCGATTTCATTAGGGTTAGGGCATAACGTAATCTAGGTGAGACCGATTACACAAACTTGGTGGGACCGATTTTGGTAATAAGCTAACCAGAGAGTTGGTCAGGCAAACTCGGTGGGACCGATTCGCTCATTTCGGTGAGACCAAAACGTTACAAAAGGGAAATAAAAAGTTTGCATTGCGAACTCGGTGGGACCGATCGCTCATCTCGGTTGGACCGAGACGTTACGAAGAGAAATAGAGAGTTTGCAATCTCATCTCGGTGAGACCGAGATCTCTATCGGTGAGAACGAGATGACTAGAGTTTCTGGCAGTGGCTATGTCAAGTGAACTTGGTGGCGCCGAATAGAACATTTTGGTGGGGCCGAGTTTGACTTTTGGTTTGGGACATATGTGGATATGAGAAAGTGGTTGAGGTTTTTGGAGCATATAACTAAGCATTTTGAGCAAGTAAGTCATTAAGCAACACCTCATCCCTTTTAATAGTATTGGCTTTTCCTATGGACTCAATGTGATATTGGATCACTAAAATGAAAATGTAGAGTCTTGAGCTTGAGTCAATGTGTGTCCTTAGCATTTTAAGGGGTCCACATTCTTAATTCATGCCAATGCCAATCATTGAACTTTCTGAAATGGTCATCTTGAAATGGTATTAATTCAATGAGCTATATGTTGTTAGTAATTACCAAAACCACCCAGGGATAGTTGCACTTTCAATTGCTGAAAGGCACGGTCGTGCCTCTTGTAAAAGAAAAACTGTGCCTCTCGCGGAAGAAAAAACACATTTTTTCGTGCCTCTCACGGAAGAAAAAACACATTTTTATGCCTCTTTTTTTACCTCTCCCGGAAGCAAAACTGTATCTCTTATGGAAGCAAATCTGTGCCTCTTGCCAAAGGAGAAAAAAATACACATTTTTTTCGTTTCCATGGTCATGTCTCTCGCGGAAGTAAAATCGTGTGTCTCATAGAACAAAAAAACACGTTTTTTCATATAATTTTTTCCTAATATTTTTGTTCAAAAGTTAAGTAAGACCGTGGAAAACAGAAAAGCCTAAAAAATCAGAAAAAATTATGTAAAAAAACGAAAACACGTGTGAAAAAATATCGAAGAGGACACCCAAAACGCGAAACATGACAGCGGCTGAGAGCGCGTCACAACCCGAAGTTACTCCTGTAGGTTTCCAAATGAGCATTAGGGCCAGTTCTTTTGGGCAATTCTCCCAGAATTGACCCCCTCCCCAGCTTCCCCCAGAATTGCCACTTCATCTTTTTTTACAATTCCTAGCTAGTTAAGGTCTAATTAGCTAGGAATTGTAAAAAAATATCAAGTGGCAATTCTGGGAAAAGCTGAGGAGGAGGTCAATTCTGGGAGAATTACCCAAAAGAACTGGCCCTTAGTTAGTTTTTTTAGGGTAACTCGTTAGTTAGTTGCTCTCGCCAAACAGGGGCACCCATCGTATAGGGATCTATTTTTTTGAGGGAAGTATAGGGCTCTTCTTGGACTTATTGTGTATAGGGCTTTTCTTTTTAAGAAAATATTCTGTTAGGGCTAGTTTGACATATTTGTCATTTGGGGGCCAAGACTAAGAACAATCCAAAGGCTCACAAGAAAGCCCGCGGGAAGCCCATCAAAGCCGACAAATACCCAGCGCGGCGTGTATAAAAAAGCGAATTCGGAGGACGGAGCACCTCAAGCTCAAATCCCTTACCCTCCTCGCGTGCCCTCCCTTATCCCCTTCACCATGGCCACCTCCGCCATGACACTCGCCATGGCCGCGGCCACGGACGCCTCCCTCTTTCACCCCACGTTCCTCTCCCAACACAAGCTCACCCCGGCGGCCGCCTTCCTCCCACTCATTTTCTCTCGCGCGCCGCTCCTCCGCTCCACCCGCCCCCGCGCCCCCCTTACGCCCCTCGTCGCCTCCTCCGACGCCGCCGAGGCGGGCCTCGACTGGGCCGACGCGGAGGAAGCCGAAGAGACGGTGACGGAGGAGGAGCCCGCGGTGGCGGCCTCCGGTGGGGATGCGGGGTACGCAGCCGAGCCTCCCGAGGAGGCTAAGGTGTACGTCGGGAACCTGCCGTATGATGTGGACAGCGAGCGGCTCGCCCAGCTCTTCGACCAGGCCGGCGTCGTCGAGGTCGCCGAGGTGAGCCTACCGCTGCAACACCTAAAATAATTACCGGTTAAATTAATAACAGCAACGCGTAAGTACGATTTCGCCCCGTTAATACCATTTTGGTACCTGCACTAGTTCGGGACTGTTTGTGTAATCCGATGTTAATTTGAGTGGTAAGCATATCACTGCATATCAAAATACTCTTGAGTATTTTGATAACTGATGCAATTTTAGGGTAGCTTCCACTGTTAATTGTAGTCTCTGTTTGTTGCCATCCCATCTTCCTAGTTGCAAGAAACGACTTGTTTTAAGTTTCCCTGTTGGCGTGGGTCCTGTTTTTCTTTTCATTCATGTTCTTCTGTTGTCTATTGTCGAACCTTGTAGTAATTGCATTATTTATATAAGGCTTGAGAATTGTAGTGTCTGATATTATTTGTATAAATGGGTGTGCAGTGCTCGATTGATTTTCTTATTTTGACCTTCCTTTGTTCGACTCCAGGTCATTTACAACAGAGAGTCAGGCCAGAGCCGTGGATTTGGATTTGTTACCATGAGTACTATTGAGGAAGCTGACAAAGCCATCGAGACGTTCAACCGCTACGTGAGTGCATATCAATCTTCTCATTGCTTTTTAGTTCTTTGAATTGTTTAGAGTTCACAGATAATCAAATTTTGTTTCATACTCCGACTTGAACATATGAAATTGTTTAGAGTATTTTTCATCACTTGCTTGTCTTCAAGTTATTTATATATGTTGCCATTACACAAGAAATTGGATGTTATCACCTTGAGACGACTTGAACATATCACTTGATAAAAACGGATTATTATCACCTTGACTGGCATGTATCCCTTATTCCGTGTCTTAGATCGCACATCATGTTTGATGAACAACTAAGTGCAGTACACCTGAAAATAGTACAACATGATGTATAAGTTGCACGTTGTGCTGAGTAGCTGGCTGATTACCTTCTGTTTAACAGGACATCAGCGGAAGGCTTCTGAACGTAAACAGGGCAGCTCAAAGGGGCTCCCGTGTTGAGAGACCTCCTCGACAGTTTGCATCTTCTTTCAGGGCTTATGTTGGTAACCTGCCATGGCAAGCGGAAGACTCTAGGTTGGTGCAATTGTTCAGCGAGCATGGGGAAGTAGTTAACGCTACAGTTGTGTACGACAGAGAAACTGGGCGTTCACGAGGATTTGGTTTTGTAACTATGGCTTCAAAGGAAGATCTTGACAGTGCTATTTCAGCGCTTGATGGACAGGTGAGAACATCGTCAGCATAACTATTATCATTTTCATAAACTACTCCCTCCGTCCCATAATGTAAGATGTTTTTCAACACTAGTGTAGTGTCACAAAACATCTTACATTATGGGACGGAGGGAGTACATAACAGCACGACTGCAACATGGAGCAACTAATTTCTCCAGAATTGTCGACTATCATAGTGTGTATGGCAAACATTGAAGGTTCCAAACGGATGCTAATTTGTTGTTGTTATGAACTCTAGGAGATGGATGGCCGTCCACTCCGAGTGAACGTTGCCGCGGAGCGACCGCAGCGAGGGTTCTGATGCAGAGGAGAGCGGGTGTTTCTTTTGGACACACGAGAACAACACTGCTGAAATGTTACTGCGGAAGACTGAAGCATGTCACCACTTAAAAATCCTGCACTGGCCTCCTGATGTTGGGCTATCTCCTCCCATCCCATATTCTTTTTTCATGCTTCCGTTTGCTGTTGATGTCATCATGTTACTTTCTTGTCAACACCGTAAGTTCAACTTTTCAAGTAGGCTACTGTAATGATGTCCTAGTGTTCTCATGATAATCGAAGAAGGTTTTGTTGGTAATGCTAATATGATATGTATGCAAAGGGCAGACTGCACGGCAGCGTTGTTTACTTTTGCAATTACATTCGCCTTGCAACCTGACATTTTTCACAGAACCAAAGATATGTTGGGTCGCTCGAATTTACAGGCACGTTAACATATGCCAACCCAAGTTGCCAGTGACAAGAGAATAACATTGTGAGAGCAGTTCCAACGAGAAAGCATGCTTCACGCTCACAGATGCTAGCAGATACAAAAAGATGGTCAAACACAAACACACACTTCAATACTTTGATGAAGTACCAGTATCCTACATTGCCATGAATCCCAGCGTTTTACAACGACAGCTTGGTAGATTTTATGTCCAATCATAACGCCTTGATAATGAGGTTTTAGGTTCACACATTGAAGATAGCATTTGGTTGGCAGGATGCTGTGATCAATTTGAGTGCAACTGGGCATCCTTGCTGGTGAGAGGCACATAGCGCACAGACGTCTCGTCTCTTATGCTGACACCGCCGTCTGGCTTCTTCTCAATCACCTTCAGCTCCTGGAAGATGGTCCCAACCGGGATCACCATTCTGCCACCAGGCTTCAGCTGCTCGATTAACGCCTCTGGAATCTGCGGTGCTGCAGCTCCGACATGGATGCAGTCATATGGTGCAAGCTCGGGCCAGCCTTCCCTACCATCTGCATCAGTTGCAAACACTATAGTTTGAGATACACCGTAGTAATATGGGCACAATTACTAAGGGATTCCATCAAAAGGAGAAGCATACACATAAAACAAATGGAGAGGGAACAACTGTATGGTATGGTGAAACAACAGACTCACTTTTCTCTTCTCTTCTCTACTTTATTTTTTACTTAAAAAATAAGTAGTGTTCCTTTTCCTGCCATGCAGAACTCTTTGTCAACCGGTTCCACCCTCTCACCACGTCTCTTTATCGATTTTTTTTCATCCAGCCGGTTTGTTTTTCACCATGCCATATTTGACCGCACCTTCCCAGTACACCGCTCAATCACATTAATTTACTTACCTTTTGCACCAATTCCACCTTAGTTTACTTACCAAACTTCTCATAAAACTATAAGGTAACTCTTGGGCAGGATTTGATAAACATTTAGGGCCTCTTTGATTCACACGATTCTGAAAAATACTCCCTTCATTCCAAAATATAGTGCACCTGCGCTTCCCGAGGTCCAACTTTGACCATAAATTTAACCAACGAGACCAACTGCGGCGGGAGAAAAAATTATATAATTGAAAACTTCTTTCAAATACGAATTCACTGATATAATTTTTGCTCCCGCCGCAATCGGTCTTGGTAGTTAAATTTACGGTCAAAGTTGAAGCACGTGGATAGAGGAAGCACTACATTGTGGAATGGAGGGAGTAAAAAGTATAGGATTGGAGTGGCATATCCACTTAAATCCAATAGTACAAAAGAGGTTGGAGTGGATGTTAGATTTCCTATTAAATGTAGTACAGAAGATTCCATACGAAAAATTGCTATGGAATCCAATCCTATGAATCAAAGGACCAACGTAGAAAATATTCCTAAGGACTTCAATCCTCCAAAAATCCTATAGAATTCTTTTGAATCAAAGGAGCCCTTAGTTGGACAATCACATTAATATGGGCAGATAAATCACGAGCTAACGTACTAGAATATATATCCCGTTGCAACGTTTGTGCATTGTCCTAGTTGAAGAATAAAATACTAGCTTGTTACTATGTTAACCCCAACTGAAATAAGCACCCCATGTAGGATATAGCTGAAGAAATCCTCATATCAAATTTGTACATATACAAAACCTGATAATTAGTCTGTATGCCCATCTAAACATGGTTCTAAAAATAGTACTTGCCATGACGGAAGCAAAGTAGATGACTAAAAATGTTAGACTCGGTCTACTTACCAGCAATATGAATACTGAGGGATCCATCATTCAGCTGTGGGGCTGCTGCACTTTTCTTGATGTTTTCAGTAGAAGAAGCAACCAACTCTGGCATGTGTTCAACACCAACTGCTCGTCCTCCCGGTCCAACCATAAGTGCAAAGCAAGCTGTTAGGTACCCAGTGCCTGTCAATTTACCAATACCAGCCAGTGAGTTTAGGACCAAGGTATTAAGCATTTCGGCCACTAAAACAAGCTAGTATTATCATTCGGTCAGAAGGAAATGATCTGACAGATATCAGCATTACTACAAAATCTTCAAAGTTTAGTGTTAAAAGGTGTGGATGACATGCCGGCGAAATGCCTGCCATATGTTTTCTTAGGTATGCCTCTCATACTGTTTTGATAGACTTCATTGCATTCTAAACTTTAAAGATACAGGTTGTTAAATTTGTGGAATGACATCAGGCACGAACATCACCTTACGCTGCCATACAAATTCAGATATTTCAGTTGAACAGATTGAACATACTCAAGTCTTCCATACCTGATCCAACATCTAGAGCTCGCATACCAGGCTGCAGATGATCCTCCAGGAGCTCCAGGCAAGCAGCATGCATGTGAGGCGCAGATATGGTTGCATTGTAGCCAATTGCCATTGGGCTATCAAAATAGGGAGAACCACCCGGAGGCACAAACAGCCCCCTATCGATGGTCTCCATGACCTCCGCAACTTTGGTCGATTTGATTACCCCATATCTCTGCAGTTGCTCAACCATGGCCTTGCTCTTGTCGCTAGCTCCGCTCGACCACAGTCCATGCTATCACAGTGTCCCCACCAGCAGAAATAATGAAACGCATATAATTAGTCGACTTTGCCACTCTAAATGGTGTCAAATTCAGTGAACGAAACTGGTTCCCTATGATTGACGAATTAAATAAAGTTTATATGGATCATGCCATAAGAGAACAATCTTAACTCGCTTGCACCATGGTAGTTGAAAATGTTTACCAAGCAGATGCTTGGAATAGCCTAGCAGCCTGGCGGTCTTTCCATTTGGATGATTCCCACCATCCACATTTCGAGCCTCAAAAATGACCATCACACTTAAAAGATGGAGACTACGGGTCCAAAGGGTCTCAGTGGGATCCAACCAAAGCCCCTCAGCCAGATGATCTCATCAAATAACAAATATATGTACGCAAGGAAGTTGGCACTGCGACAACCAAACCATGTGCTCTAACAATTTTCCTCCAATTAGAATTCTGCTTCTTC